TGCCTCCTGCATCCTGTGGTTTGCCATATCAAACCTCCCCCATCACCAGTGCCTGTGACTTCCCCAGTGCCATCCATCCTCACAAAACCCTCAGCCAGTTTCCTCCACCCACACTGTGTTGGGATTTATTTTCTCTTCCCAGAGGGAATGTGGGAATTGTTTTTTTTTTTTTTAATCTAAGCTGCAGATGCTCGTTAATATCTCCCCATGTGCTCTGCTAAGCCCCAAACCAGGTCACTGGATCAACCTTTCCCCAGAGTTCATCATCTCGGCTGTTTTTTCTTGCTGAGGCAACACTGAGCAGGTCCAACTCACAGAATCAGCATCTTGTGAAAGTTCSTCCAGGTCCCAATTACTGAGTCATTATGCCCTGACTGCTCTCCCCACTGCACCCGGGAGTTTCACAGGTTGTTCAAGCACCTGACCTTCCCCTGGGGCATTTTGGCCACAGTCTCCCCAAAACCACCCTGAGCAGAGTCCTGGGTGCTCCAGAAAAACATCTCACAAAGSAGCAGGGCTGGAAGCAGCAATCCAAGCCTCCAGCTTTGCATTTCAGGTGGCTTGGGCAGATTTTCTGGGCTCTGACTGCAGCCACTCAAATTACCGGCTGGCTGAAACTGTTGAGCAAAGCCCAGTAAAAAGGGGGAAGAAACAGGAATGAAGGAAAAATAATGATAAAAAATGAGGTGAAAAGTGAAATCTTGTTCCCCATGGTCTGCACTGTGCAGTTGGGTGATGGATACAGGACCCTCGGGGCTCAATGTCCCCCATTTCCCTTTCCTGCAGGTACGAAGATGAGATCAACAAGCGCACCGCGGCAGAAAATGAGTTTGTGGTGCTCAAAAAGGTGAGCCAGGACCAGCTGAAAGGTGGGCAAACCACGGGTTGGGAGCCTGGGGGAGAAATTGGGGGTCCTGGCACCCTGATACCCCAAAAATGAGGCAGCCCAAGGAACGTCAAGAGCCTCTCTGAGGTTTTCAGCACAAACCCAGATAGTGCTAAGGGCTGGAAATGGGGGAGGGTTTCCTCCAAATCTAAAGAAAACCTGGGGTTTGGCCCAGTCGTTCCTTCACCTCTTTTAATGGAATTTCTGGTGTCTCTCCAGGATGTGGATTGTCTCTACCTGACCAAGGAGGAGCTGGAGGTGAGGGTRGGTCTCCTGMGGCAGCAGCTGGAGTTCCTGAAGTGCATCTACGCCGAGGTAAGAGCTCCCAGCCCTGCTGCTCCCGGGGTGAGGCATCATCTCCTGCCCTYCCTGCCTGAGTATTACACCAGGAGTGCAGGGAAAAGTGTCTTTTTCTGAAAATCCTGGAATTGCAACCCAGAACTCTGTGTCTTCAGAAGTATTTGATGACAGCACTGCTGCACTCGCTTTGGGAAGGCACAGGGGGTCTTGGCTGTCTCCCACATTGCTGCCCACAAAGGGAGAGATCTTTTGCCTGAAAACCTCTCAAATTCTAATCCAAACCATCCCTGGGTTGGCCAAATATGTTTAGCACTTGTTTTTTGGTTTTTTTTTCTTACATTAGTCAAAATATTTTTTGTGATAATAACACTTCTGCCTAAAATTCCTCAAGTTTTTTACAAAACACACTGGGGACACTTTGCATTGACACCTTTCTGAGCTAAAACCCCTCAGTGAGGGTCAGTGAGGCCCAAAGAATGATTTTTGAGAAATTCCCAGTCCAGGAAAGCACTGGCACAGCCAGGAATGTGGGAATGGGTTGCTCCACCAGGATTCCCCACCCTCCCTCAGGGAGATGCACGCACCCATCCCATGTCGTGCCACCAAAACACGTCCCAGCTCCAGGGTTTGCTGGACACGAGGAACCTCAGTTCATGAGAGAACCTCATCCAGCCAGACCCTCCTGGCTGGGGCTGATTGAGGGAATGGCACTGACGCTCTGGTCCTGCAGGARAGGGCTCAGATGGACTGTCAGCTGTGTGACACCTCGGTCATCGTGCAAATGGACAAYAGCCGGGACCTGGACATGGAGGGCATCATCAAGAGCGTGGAGTGCTGCTACGAGGAGATTGCCCAGAAGAGCAAGGCCGAGGTGGAGGCTTTCTACCAAACCAGGGTGAGTATTCCATGAATTTCCATGAAAGACCATTTCTGAGACATTTCTGAGACATTTCTGAGACATTTCTGAGACAATTTCTGAGACATTTCTGAGACCATTTCTGAGACATTTCCGAGACCATTTCCAAGAACATTTCTGAGACATTTCTGAGACCATTTCTGAGACATTTCTGAGACCATTTCCAAGACCATTTCTGAGACATTTCCGAGACCATTTCCAAGAACATTTCTGAGACATTTCTGAGACCATTTCTGAGACATTTCTGAGACCATTTCCAAGACCATTTCTGAGACATTTCTGAGACATTTCTGAGACATTTCTGAGACCATTTCTGAGACATTTCTGAGACCATTTCTGAGACATTTCCGAGACCATTTCCAAGAACATTTCTGAGACATTTCTGAGACCATTTCTGAGACATTTCTGAGACCATTTCCAAGACCATTTCTGAGACCATTTCTGAGACCATTTCTGAGACCATTTCCGAGACCATTTCTGAGACCATTTCTGAGACATTTCTGAGACATTTCTGAGACCATTTCCAAGACCATTTCCAAGACCATTTCTGAGACCATTTCTGTGACATTTCCAAGACCATTTCTGAGACCATTTCCAAGACCATTTCTTACACCATTTCTGAGACCATTTCCAAGACCATTTCTGAGACATTTCTGAGACCACTCCTGAGACCATTTCCAAGACCATTTCCAAGACCATTTCCAAGACCATTTCTGAGACCATTCTGAGATCATTCCTGAGACTATTCCCATTCTCCACAATGCAACTTCAGCCCACCCCACCTTGTGTATGAACTGCGGTTTGCTAGAGAAAGTTGTGCCAAAAAAAACCCCCAAACCCTTAAAAGAGTAGTTGGAGACATTTGGGTACAAGCAGAGCAGACCAGAGTGTTCAGACATCTCTGAATCCTCTGTGCAGCTGGAGGAGCTTCAACACTTCCCAAAGGGCAAATCAGAGAATCTGAAGGCTGGAAAGACCTCCAAGGTCTGGGGCTGTCACCTTGTCCTGGGTGGGGCCCTGGGGACATCAACTTTAGTTCAGCTCCAGAAATCCCCASMATCCCAGAAAGAGAGGGGRGCCAGGGAAGGGGAATTTTGGGGGYGTTGACATCATCYTCTTCCCGTGCAACAGCTGGAGGAGCTCCACAGCAGCCGGGGCAAGTTCTGCGACGACCTGAGGAACAACCAGAGCGAGATCGCGGAGCTCAACAGGATGATCCAGAAGCTGCAGTGTGAGTCGGACAACGTGAAGAAACAGGTAGGACCACGGGATGGATCCACCCAATTCCAAAGGGAATTGTCCTGCAGCTCCCACCCTGAGGAGTGGCAAGGAACCCTCTGCCCGTGCTCAGATCGATTTTATCTTCTCATCTGCTGTTCATGCACACAAAAAGCAGATTTATTTCTCATTTGGCAAATAAGACATACGTTGCTGTGGCTGTATCAGAATCAGTGTTTGCTGGGGGCTCCCACCAAGCTGCAGCCAGCAGATCCCACTCCTTTGACCCCAAACAGCTTGGCCATCACAAATCCAGCCTAAATCTTGGCTCTCTGGAACCTCCTGGCTGAGAAACAAGGGGTCACATGAGCAACTCTGTGGAGACAGCATTTACTATCGCTCCTGGCTTCCCTCTTGTCCCGAGAAATTGTGTCTGGAAGTGTCCAAGGCTGGGTTGGATGTGGTTTGGAGCAGCCTGGGCTGGTGGAGGGAGTGGGGACTGGSCAGGGRATGGGACTGGATGGGTTTTACTTTACTTTTACTGAAGCTTTGTGGGGATATTCCCCAGATTTCAGCCCTGCAGACGGCCATCTGTGACGCTGAGCAACGCGGAGACTGCGCCCTCAAGGATGCCCGGCAGAAGCTGATTGACCTGCAGACAGCTCTGCAGCAGGCCAAGGACAAGATGGCCTGTCTGCTCAAAGACTACCAGGAGCTGCTCAAYGTCAAGCTGGCCCTGGAYATCGAGATTGCCACTTACAGGACGCTGCTGGAGGGCGAAGAGAGCAGGTAGGGAT